AATTAAAATTTCTTGCTATAACAAAAAATTTAAGAAACAGATACAATTAAATTACAAAGATTTTCCTAAGACTCCTAATTTCAGCAAATTGATCTTAGCAGATTTCAAACAGAAATAATTCTTTACACTTAGTCCAGAGATGTCCATGGCGGCGCTGCCGCTGCCGCCACCGCCACGGCGGCAGCGGCAGCGGCAGCATTTTTTTTTCGAGGACATTGAAAAACTGCATGAATTTAATAGAATTTCATTGTTTACAAATGAAACACCCCGAGACTGAATGAATCTGATGGAGTAGTACCAATATTTCTGGTCCAATACAGTTGCAGCAGTGAAAATCGAAACACTTTTTTGAAAACCATCGCGGCAGCGGCAAGTTTATTACTCATCGCGGCGCGGCAGCGGCAGAGTTTCAGCCGCGATGGACATCTCTGACTTAGTCGAATGAGATGATTTTTGTTTTCAGTTTTAAAGTGATTTCAAACTATTATTTTTAGAGTTTTTGAAATTTTAATACTTTCTTCTATACATATATAAAAATCGAAGTTTTGAACAGAATTCAAATAGTGATTTCATATCGCTTTGAAACTAAAAATAAACATTATCATTCGATTTAGTATGATGAATTATTTCTCAAACGATGGATTTTGTTAGAATTTATATTTTATGCATCACTCAAGTACCTGTAAAGATGATTTTAGTTTGCACGTTCATTGAAATTTCAAATTGTTGCTACCTCATTTTCATACTCGTATAATACTATTGAGATTTAACACAGAAGTAAAATGATGAGTACTGAATTCATTTTTTGATTTATATTGATTTTAAAAATAAAAAACTATGAGTGAAAGAAAAATATAAAATTCGAAGAAAAGTACAATAGAATAAAGCTATATTCCTTGTTCAAAAGTAACTTCAAATCATGAGAGTTTCGCTATACAAAAAAACAATATGAATCTCTTCAGATTCAATTGATGTATCATCAATAATTAATAATAAACTGTAATTTTTCACTTCTTGATAATAATTTTTAAATATTTACATCAAACATTTCACAAATTTGTTATTAAATAAAACAAGACAATTTTTTAATATTATTTCCCTTTTCCTTTTAAAAATTAAATTCTCTCAATTTTATTTGAATATAATAAAAAAAAAAATAAATATTAATTGAATTTTAACAATAAAAATAGATAAATATGACATATTTAGTATTTTCATTATATTAACTAAATCAAATTAATTTAATCGTATTCTATAATCAGTAAAAAATGCCCATACAAAAACACATAATGATAAAACTATAATAGCTGCATATGAACATTGAGTATGCCATGATGAAATATTTGGTTCACGTATAACACATATACTTCGTCTACTACTTGTATTATCATATGGAGGTTTATCTGAACTTATTGATTGTACATCAAGTTCATCAGCTTTTTCTAAACCACAAATCCAAGCAATAGCAATTTTGAAATATAATACAATGCCAGTAGAATTATCTAGAATACAAAAAAAAACAAAATAATAATTAATTTAAGATTTATAAATAAATTTTTAATACGTGTATCAAAAAATTCAAATGCTTTTTTTTCTGTTTTAGTTAATGATATATTTGTATGATGTTGATTTGAATTTTCATATGAATATGGATGTTCTTCATCATAATATGTATCTGCTTTATACATACAACCAGGTCGAGTTGGAATTGTAATTGGTTTATCAGGATTATCAAGATCAAATGTAGTTAAACCTGATATCTATATATTAAATGAAATAATAATTTATTTTCTTGTTTATTTTTACTTACATATTTATCTGGTATTGGTTTTGTAAGAAGACTAACAACAATAGTAACAATAGCTGATATAAAAAAAAGTAAAACAGAAAAATATAAAAAATTAAATCGAATTATTGTTGGATGTTTATCCAAATGTTCAAGTTGACAAGGCATTGCTGTATAAGAATATTCCCATATAAAACGAAACATACCAACAAATAAACCAGCTATAAGACCCCAAAAAGCTCCCTAAAATAAATAGATAAACTATTTCTATTCTCCCCTCTCTCCGATAAATTATATTTTATGATTATTATTTACTTCTTCATTAATTCGTTTCCATAATACACCAAGTAAATAACAAGCAGCAACAGGTGGAGCTAAAAATGATTGAACAGCTTGTATATAATCAAATAATCTTGAACCTTGTGCTGCTCGAATAATTGGAATCCAAAAAATTGAAACAATCACAAGTATCATAACAAAAACTCTTAAATTAAAAAAATATTTTCATCAAAACAAAATTCTTTTTTTTATTACCTGCCAACAATCATTAATTCCCAATCAGGTGCATTTTTACGAAAACGTTGCCATATATCAATAGTAAATATAGTTGAACTTGAATTAAATATTGATGTTAATGATGACATTAATGCAGCAATCATACATGCTAATGTTAAACCACGAATTGCTGATAAAAAAAAGAACAAAAAAAATAAAAATTTAATTTGATTAGAAAAAAAAAAAAAGAAAAACAATAACCATTAGGCATTAATCGAATAACAAGAAGTGGATATGCTATATCATTACAACCATTTCGACTATGACAAACTTGATAACATGTATCTGGATCAGTACAACCAATTTCATCTATAACATATGTAAATGATACAAAAAAAAAAAAGAACGTTTGCATACCAGGAAAGAGTATTCGTGCAACCATTCCTATGTAAATTCAATACAAAAAAAAAAAAGAACTTAAATTATTAAGAATATAAATTATTTACCAGGAAATACCATAAGAAATAATGGTAAAAATTTTAATAGGCCTGCAAATAAACAACCAGCTCTTGCATGTGATAGATTCTTTGCTGCTAATGTTCGTTGAACAATGACCTACGGTTTTTTGTTTTTTTGATGAAAATAAAAATTGTTTTTTTTTTTTTTTGAAATTTTATTTACTTGATCACAACTCCAATACCATGTTGAAACAATTGCACCACCAATTATTATACCAAACCATGGTAAATCAGCATCAAATGGACGTATTAATGAAAAATAATCTTCATTTGGAATACCACATTTAGTTGTACTATGTAATGTTGTATTAGCAAGAGCATATGGAAAAAAATTTCGTATTTGTTGAAGACCACCAACTTTTACAAAACCTGATTATATTAAAAAAAAAAATATATATATATATATATTAATATTTTTTATATGTTTTACTAATAATCATAAGTATAAAAGCCGAAATAATCATAATTATTGTTTGAATAAAATCTGTCCAAATAACTGCTGTTAAACCACCTATGAAATTTATATTTTAATTAAACAATCAAAAAGTTTTTTTTGTTATTATATTTACCTCCAACAGTAAAAAAAGCAGCTAGAAGTATAAGAGCAATAACTGATGCATAAAGATTCCAATTAAGTGCTTGTTGAAGAAAAACAGCACCAGAATAAAGATCAACAGATATTTTTGTAAATATTGATAACATTAAAGCAAGACATGTTAAATATATTCGTATACGTTCACCTCCATAACGCATTTTTAAATATTGAGGCATGGTATATACCTATTGCAACAGATATATTTTGTTTTTCGATATCATACATGCTAAATAAGAATTTTTGAATGCTGCGGCAAAATATAAATAAAATTCTCTTTTTCAACTACTATTTGAATTCATCTTAGTGTTTATGATTAGGAAAATATATTGAAAATTAAACCTAGTTGAAGAATTTTTGAAGATCTGTTTATATATATATCATTATGTACAATACCTCTGCTTTCATATAAATTGGTACAAATAACCAACCAAGTATCATAAGCATATAGATAGCCTATTATATAAAATATGTATATTTTTGTTTTTTTTCTTTATTATTTCTTACTCCTAATTCAAAACCAGCAACACCTATACCACTTGAAGCACTTGAACCACTTAGACCAATAAAATGACCACTGCCGATGTTTGATGCAAATAAAGAAGCGCCCACCTATAGACATATGTATAATATCAATAGAAATTTTATATATATTTTGTAAATTTTACCGGTATAAAATGCATCGAACGACCAGCAAGAAAATATCCACCTAAATGTAGAAATATTATTTTAGTATGTAACAAATGAATGTTTCTAGATGTCAAATTGCTTTTCATTTGAGACTATTGTCATTCGATCGATCATGATAAGTAGTAAAAAGAAAATCTTTTTGATTTAATTTTCTGGCATTCGCTTATTAAGTTATGGGCGTTTTATTTGGTTCTTGCTATAAGGACTGCACATATCCTTCGTTTGTGAAATACAGCCCCAAATCGACGTTTCTTTGAAATGTAAATATCTTAACCAAGTAAAACGTTCTTAAACGAAGATTGAGCAGCTAAATTCAGCATAATCGATTGAATGACAATAATCTCAAGCAAAAATCGATAGAATAAATAAGAATGTTCTCTTATTAACTTAGATACAAAAAAGTTTAAGAAAGTTAAAATATTAAATGTGCGACATAATTAAGAAAATCATAAAGATTTGATCAATAATTTCTTTTCATAGCTATTAAATTTAATCATAAACTTTTTATATTTCCTTACCAACACTCCCACGATTTTTGCATGAACTCTAAAATTCAATAAATAATAATTAATTAGAACAAAATTTTTAATTTATCATACCCAAACTCCAAAACCAAGAATAAGTAAAAAATATAGTAATAAAACTAATACATCCGACCAATGAAGTGCAGTTCCGATGACGGCAACCATGTTTTGATTTTAATTTAAAATGTGTATGTGTTTTTATCATTTTACCTTTATTTTCTACGGTATAAAAAGATCATGAATAGATCAACAAACATATGACCTTTTACTCAATAGAGATATTTCAAGGTTATTATTTTATTTCTTTCATATAAAAATTAACATCAATGATAGTAAATGAAGTAAAAACAAAAAACAAACGAAACTGACATTTTTATTGAAATCAACGTTTATTATCATAAATATGTATTAATCTTTTCATTTTTAAAATAATAAAGATAATAAATATCATTTCCAATTCGTGTAATAAATGGAGCTTTGGTTAATTTTTTTTCAAGTTCAATTGTTAATTCTTTTGTTGATTTATTTGAATCAGGTTTGACTTGACGATATTGTTTAATAATCTATTAAATGATAATGAAAAAAAGAATATATTATTGAATTATACTAATATCAACTTAATTCTTTTTTAAGTTTATCAAAACTAATTGTTTCACTATTAGAATTTTGAACAATTGTTTGAATTCGTGTAATCCAATCAAAACTTGTTGTTGATCCAACTAAATGAATCAAAAAGTTCAAATAAGAAAAATCAAAAAAATGTAAATATTCTCTTACTATCTATATAATGACTGTTCATTTTACTGCAATAGTTTGAAAAGGAAAAATATGTATATATATTCGACTTTTCTTGATTACCAAAGATGAATCATAGATAGAATAGAACGAATATATAATAGATCAACATTTACATCTGATAGAAAAGAAATAGTCACGAGTATATTGGTTTTTTTGTCAAATAAATTTATCATTTCACTCTTTAATATTAAAATAGAGTAAAATTCAGTTTTTGATTACTTCTAAAGTTCGAAGAGTTTGCCATTTTCTTTTGAATAGTTATAATATTCGGATCTACCACTATGATTACGTCTTGTGAATGAAGAAGAGAGATTTTTTCTTTCTTTTCATCCGTAGTAAAAAATGCAGAAAAAATTTTCATTTAAATAAAATCATATTTATTATTGAAGTTTATTAAAAAATCACCGATTTATCGGGATTTTGATGGCATAGGTTAGAACACATCGTATTTTATGTGTATTGTAATCTTGATTTTAATTAAATGAAAATATTATATACTACTATTTAAGTTTTAATTATCTTTATTTAAAAGTGATATCTACACCGAGCAAATAGTTGTGTTTATTTGAAGGTTGAAACTTGAACTGAATTCAATTTTCAAATTTGACATATATGGAGGAATGTATGAATTATAATTGATATTTCAGAGATATATTTGAGAAATTTCTATTGTTAGTCATGCAAAACTGACATAAAAAAAAAGTTTACTTGAAGAAATAAAGAGCGCTAGAATTCTTATAAAAAAAAAATAAAAAAATATTCTTGAATTTGTCTGAAGACAGTGCAAAAGATAAAGAAAAATAATCGAAATATGATGTTGAAGTTCGACGATCTCAATCATATACACAAAACAAATGAATATACTTAATCATCTATACTGTTTGAATTCGAACTTTCTGATTTTATTTTTCAAACAAATCGCACACAATAACGAAATTTAAATGACTTAGAATGATATTAGTCACATGCTTCGTCCATAGATTATTCATTTCATGTTAATCATACCACTGCACTAATATTTTTCTTTCGAATTTCTCAGTTATTGTATTTTATTTTTTGTTTTCTTTTTCTAAGTTAAATAATTAATTGATAGCTTTTCCAATCATACATAAAGTCATAGCTTTCAATATATTCTGTCATAGTTCTTCTCTCTCACTGATTGAATATATAAGTTCTGTTACAGCTGAACTGCTCTCGCTGCCTCCAATGTAACAGCCATTCAACTAGAAATAGAAATATATCATTCTATCAATGAATACTCTCTTCTTTTTTTTTGCATCATACCACATATTATTGTTACATTGGAACAGAACGAATAATTTAATGCATGAATCAAAGGATTTTCTTTTCTGATTACTTTGCTATCAGCCTATTGGATAGTTCAATAGTTATTACCGAGAAATTCTCTTTATTGAAATATAAACCTTGATGTAAAAATATTTCATTGACGTAAATGTCTATCATTTGCATATGTATTGATTACCTAACTGGTGACGATTGTTCCATTGTATTCTTATTAAGACAACGTTTCTCTACACACACTTGCGCACATCACTTCAACTAAAAATAGAAAAAAGATATTCTTTTCTCTTCATTATAATAATATCTTCGAGCAACACAAAAAGAAAAAACTACAATTTCTTTTTTAAATATTTGAGCTTCTTCCGCAGAGCTAAAAAGATTGAATCTTTTTCAGTTACTAAACGTTGTAAAGTACTCAATGTACGTTCAGAAAATGACTGCGCATTCGAAAAATCAGCCTTATCGTCAAACATTCCAGCAATGTCGTGATATGAACCAGATAAGTTATGATTATTTGAAGAGGACGTATTTTGGTGAATTTCTACTACGCATACGGTCATAAGCCATACAAATGTTGTATTGAGTACAAGAGCTACATCGATATCCATATCTACACCCTACATGCACGACCACACTCATTCTTTACCGAAAGACATTATTTTTCAGATATAATAATATGAACAACAGTACCGCGCCTTGTAGAATGATGCTTACATCGAAGGAAAGCTTTTGAAGTTATTCTGTTCTCAATTAATGATTGAAAAAAGAGGAAATTTGAGTAAAATTTTGAGTATTTGTTTTCCAATAAAGAACTGTTTAAGGACGAACTAAAACTTAAGACTCATTACACTGATTTTATTCTTATCAATTTATTCAAAAAAAGTTTCGTTTATAACCAATCTCATCCCAAAAGTCACAATCATCCTTCAAATAGTTCTCTCCTATTTGAAGTGGATCTTGAATGTACATATATTTCTCATTTTCAGTCGTCACTCTTGGCCATGATAGTGGAACTCTCAACGGCTCATTGGGATCTTGACTCTTGCCAAAATTTGTCCAATACGTAGCCATACTTTGAGATACACGTCGACCGGCATCAGTAAAATTTGCCCAAGATGATTCAAAAAGAAAGGGTATTTCATCAGCATGACAGGCATGATCACTGCATTCTATCCGATTTCTCAAATTTTCCGTATCATATGGATAACCAAAAACGTAAGAATACGTTGCACCTTTTCGAGCAAAGACTCTAGTCGAACAAGCAAACACCCATTGTGTGGCAGCACGAGATACAAGCGGTCGTTGGTCGCCTGAACCGACTGGCGGATATTTCTTGAGAATTTTGAATGCCTTTTCCTGAAAAATGACTAGGGCTATTGCAATATATTCACTAGGCGAGATCGGTTTTTGCCATTTTCCATAAATAAAATCTCGACATTCTTCAGTGACTGTACCAATAATTAATGGTTTCAGAGGAAATGATGTATTGTACACAGTATCTATAAGTTGGCCATGAACAATCACATTGTCAATAACGGGTAGCCATGGTTCGAAGAAGAGCAGAACATTCAATGAAGTCAACATGCCATTCACAGTATTTTGAGCAGCAATGATGTCGTCGGTAGAACGGTTTCGAAAACATGCTATATCGCCAATATCACAATGTAGTTGTTCAGCAAAGAGAACACTGGGTGTGACATATTCGAGGTATGTTCTATTCAAACAAAATATTTCGTATCATATTCATCTGATCGATGTACCTGAATGGAACTGTCATTGGTGCACTTTGGATAATTGCTCGCTGAAAGAATGGCTGCATCTCATTTGTAACATAATGCAGAGCAATAGACTGAGCACCAGCACTTTGACCGAATAGTGTAATCTAAAGATAGACTAGTTTAGTATAGTGATACCTTGAATATCTACTTGTTCAAACCTCATTTGAATCTCCACCGAATGCTTCAATATTGGCTTTGATCCATGCAATAGCCAGACGTTGATCGAGTATGCCATAATTACCTCTGATATCATTGGAACCGTTTCCGGTTGCCAAAAAACCCAGTACACCTTTTAATTTTCATCGTATCCTTATATAATTATTTGAAGATAATTCGACATTTACCTATTCGATATTGAATTAGCGCAACGATTACATTGGTTGTGTTAACAAAACGTTCAGACTCGAAGATCGATTGTGAGGCCCAGCCAAACTGAAAGTCGCCACCATGAATGAAAATCATTACTGGTAAGAGACTCTTATGTTGTGAATCACTGAACAACGGTGTGAATATGTTCAAATACAGACAGTCTTCAGACATCTATCGTAAATACGCATGCCAAACTGTTACAAAAGAAATCATTCTCGATTACATAAAAACTTACAGTACTTGGAGTGACAATAGTAGTTATAGCACTTGCTGGTTGAGCACAAGCAGGTGGTGATTGGGTAGCGTTGATCACGTTGGGATACCATTTAGTGACAGGTATTGGAGGCTGCCATCTGTACAGAGATAAGTATAGTATACAAAAGCAAGTGCTAAAAATTTTACTAGATTAACCTCAATGTTCCAATAGGTGGTCGAGCAAATGGAATACCATAGAAGACACGAGCCGAATCAGTTTGATAACCTAATACATCACCGTACTGTGTATGAACAATCACAGGCTTACTGGCGCAAATACATTGCGCATTAAAAACTAGCATAAAAATAAAGATTACGAACATTATCATCCTGCCGCACAATGCAAGATGAATGTGTCGACCAAACATTTTGATGAATATCTCTATCGTAGATAATTGATAAAGAAAAGATGTATTTTCAAACGTAACGCATTTTGTTATGTTTGCACACAACAACAAAGTCTCATATGATGACACTTTGCAAGTGCACTTCGATAATTTCTGAAACTAGTCATTTTTTCTTCTATCAAAATCTGATACGATGAGTTGAATGTGATTTCGAATCATATCTGTAGAATATTATCATTTCGTGTGTATAAAATTTCACTTTATTTTTACTTTAGTATTAAAATAAATCTTGCAGATGAAAGTGAGGAAGCAAGTCGAAAAAAAATGCATTTAAGAAACAAGTCAGGGTGTGGGTGTTGATTTAGAGGATGGGAAAAGACACACTCACCCTAGCTTTCATTCTAATGGTTCGATAGTCCTTTTTGATAAGGTGATTCAAGAAAAGAACACAACATTTGAATTTTTCTGTACTTGTGAGTGATGTCAACAAAAGCAGCGTTTCTCTGTGTATGATACCCACATGCACGACTGTGGCTTGTCTGATAAGCATACAAATGCTAGGCTATTCATCCCGAGATTTTTATCAGTACATAATCCTCATTATACATGTTCTACTTCTCAGTCAGGATGATAAACAGAAAGAATATGGCATGTCAAAAGGCGAACAATGAGGAGGCTTGTAATGTTGATCAAAGCTCTTGTATTGATTGGTGGATTTCTTTAAGAAAATGCACTTGTTGTTCCACAAACTTTTAATGAGTGTTCTCGTCAAACGATGATTCTTGCTCACAACGCCCAAAAGTTACTCTATGAATTTGTTGGCGTTATTTCGTTGTCGTTTTTAGTATCGCTACAAACTGAACTTATGTTTTTAGATTAAATTCTACAGTCTACTAAATTTAGAATATGAAATAAGAGTGTCTTTGTCGATCTTAAGTTAATGGATGTCGGTGAAGACTTAATAGTTCTTTGATTGCTTGCTTGTTACATTTCAAAAAGTATTGATAATAATATATTTAGTCCCATAATAAGAATCGGATTCGCATCGTTCCAATATGAGTCTGAGCGGCAATCTGCATGAGCCAACATTGCAACTGTGGCAATGGCATATTGAGAGACTGTTTGTCCATATTCAAAATCAATTAAATTCACTGTATCTAAAGTATCATGATATCCATCACGTTCGAAATTTTCATGATAATTTATGTGTTCATTGAAGAGCAGACAAGTAAAACCATATTCAACAAACCTGACACCGTCAGTATTGTACAAATACGCAAAGGGATCACTCCATCGACGTAGTACTGGCTGTAAATTCTGTAAGATTAAATCGTTCTTGATTCGTGGATAAACATAATTAAGAGCTAATTCAGCCATGAGTAATGATTTAGTTGTATCTCCTGCGTTAACTTGAACAATAGGATCACTTCGATGGACACGATGACCTATCATATCAACAATGACGGCCGTATGAATCGGTTGCTTTTTTATAAATAATTGCTGTAGGAAATGGCTGATACCCAAACTAGCCGCGGGATATTCTTCACCTGTCATATGCACTAACCATATGTCACGGCACGCTTTTTCTTGCGTTTTTTTCAGTATCGAAGCTGATTGCAGTAAAGCAAGCATACCACTAACATTGTCATCAGCACCTGGTGTTGACTGTCGTTTGCCCGTATCGGCGAATGTATCTCCTTCGAATGCAGTGTCGATGTGATCGATAAAAAGTACAGGTTCATGACACTTGTAAGATCCGTTAGCTGGTATGTAAGCAATAAGATTTGCTTGTGTAATATTTCGCCAGTGAAAAATCTGTTTTTCCGTCCGAATATCCAGTTTGTTGTATCGTTCAATGAGATAATCGATCAAATCTAATAATTGATTATTGGTTTGTATAGAAGATTTACGACTCAGATAGATTTGTGTTGTATTTTCGTACTCAAGTGGATATATACCACTTAATCGATACATATCCGATCTCCACTGGTTTGCAAATGCTTTTGGCCATTGAAGTTCGTTATACCAAGCATCTGAAACCGGCTTTGTTTTTGATATGTCATTCGATGATGGAGAGGGAATAGTATACCAAGAAATATTCGATGGCCAATGGAAACTATTGTTTTGTGTAATGTTGATAAACATTGTGTACGGTTTTCCATTGACACGAAATGGTTGTGGCAAGACAACACAGATGTTGTGATGTAGCTCCGGTTCAACTTCATTCAGTTTTTCAGGTGATAACCATCCCGAATAGATTGTCGTTGTTTGTGTTTGATTCAGAGAATCTGTATAATTTGCAGATGTCCATAGACAATCACCGAATACGGGTTTCATGTATAATGATGATAATAATAAAATATCGGCAAATATTTCAAAATGATGATCTGGATTTGATGTTATGAATAATTGAGGTAGATATGGTTCTGGATACTCAGATTCACTTAATGGAGAATCGAATGAATATGAGAATTTGATCGACGAAGAATTCAACCAAATCCAGTTAGAGTCATTACAAAATATTCTAGCGTAAACCCATGTATAAAATCCAAATGCACCAAGAGTCGGCCATAATTCAATCATGGTGATATTCATTGATTTATGATGATTTATAATCGTTTGCAATTGGCTCTCACCAGCAGACTTCAGTGACTGAGGAATGTAAATTCTATTGGATGCCATCAAATCACAATTCACATCGGTTATATTGAATTCTAAATTAACAGGCTTACAACCAGTATACAAGGGAATATGTTGATCATCGCCTGAAATGAATGGCTGTAGATAATGAGTTTGAGTTGGAACGTACGAAGATAACGGGACTATACAAAAGACATTATTTTGCTGAAATAATAGGAAAAATAAGATTGTGCTTCGTAGCATGATTTTTCAACTATGACAATTTTATATTTCGTTGAAAGTTGTTCTGCACTCACTCGCCTATCACAAAAAGTAAATGCTCGACTATAGCCAAGATAAATGGACTTTTGACAAATATTAGCGATAACGTTGGTTATAGTATATGCAGAACTAATCTTCTTATATATATATACAGTACGATATTATCTATGCCATAAATCATACTACATATTGACTTTATGGTTAGCTGACAAATAGAAACGGAGCATAAGTGCATTAAAAGTCTCAAACATCCAATGGAAGTATATCGCTGTTCTGCTGAATCCTTTTTTGTTCTAGAGTCAAATAAAATGCATGAAAAAAGAATGTTTTTATCCTCAATAAAATGTCCATAACGCCAACAGTGTCCCAGGATTGAGGTTTGGAAATTCTCCCAATTCCTAAAAACACCAGCTAAAAGTGACATATCCCTCGAGGAACTGAGAACTGACCCTCAACCACTTCACGAAACCTCCTCAATCTCATCGATTCCTTCTCGTGAATAAATTACAATTCATTGCAACGACAGTTCCCAAACCACGATACCTTCTAATTTCCTCATTTCCTCCCGTGGGAATCGACCACCAACAATTCCTCAGATAAGGAATCAAGGAAATAACTAGAACTAACCGTCAATATTGATCGGAAGAACTGACACCAACATTAGCCATCATCATTCAAATTCCATAAGAACGACCCAGAAAACAACAATTACCACACAAATGCGAGGATACGCTGAGGAACTAAGGAATTGTGACAGTTCTGCTGATAGTTCCTAGGAATTGGGGTGGATATCTAGAAGGTTTCTAGGTATCCACCTTAGTTCCTAGGAACTGTCAGCAGAACTGTCATAATTCCTCAGTTCCCCGGCTTTTTTCTGTCTCCGGTATAATTTTAGTATCTAATGAATAGTACATCATTTCCTCATTTCCCAGGAACTGTCAGCAGAAGTTAAATCTCTCCCTAGTCTGTATTGTGCCGTAAATGAATCAAGAAAGCCTACCGAGAAGTATAGAGTTTATATCAGAAAAAGTCAAAAGCCTCATTTCTCCTCATTCTCTTGACATAGCCCCCACAGTTCTGCCCAGTTCTAAATGACAATTCCTTGGTTGAAATTTCGGTGATCAATGCCCCAGGAAAAATAAATAATTATCCCTATTAGCAAAACGGTATACGACTGAGCTAATCAATCCTCCTCGAAGCAATAGGAACTTAGGGTAGGTTCCTTCTAGGTATCTATCTCAGTTTCTCGGAGAATTGAGGTAACGACGTAGCACTTTTTAGATACTAAAATTATACCGGATATAGAAAAAAGTCAGGAAACTGAGGAATTGTGACAGTTCTGCTGACAGTTACTAGGAACAATCAGCAGAACTGTCACAATTCCTTAGTTCGTCAGCGTATCCTCTCATTTGTATGGTAATTGTTGTTGTCTGGGTCCTTCTAACGGGATTTGAATGATGATGGCTAATGTTGGTGTCAATTCTCCCGATCAGTATTGACGGTTAGTTCTAGTTATTTCCTCGATTCCTTATATGAGGAATTGTCGGTGGTCGATTCTCACGGGAGAAAATGAGGAAATGAAAAGGTATCGTGATTTGGGAACTGTCGTTGCAATGAATTGTGATTTATTCATGAGAAGGAATTGATGAGGAACCGAGGAGTTTTCGTGAAGTGGTTGAGGGCCAGTTCTCAATTCCTCGAGGAATATGTCACTTTTAGCTGGTGTTTTTATGAATTGGGAGAATTCCCAAAACTCAGTCCTTGGACACCCCTCAGTAAATGACACATTTATTAATTGGGAAAGATTCAATTTCAGATTCTTATAATACATTTTCTTCGAAAACCGTCTCTTTAGATACTTCAAATAGAACAAAAATTAAAAAATAACATACTAGCATAATCTGATAGACGATTCATATGAGATTTAAGAATTGAAGGTGAATGAAAGCGAAGATGAAAACAACTTCATACATTCACCCGCATACCGTATATTAGAGTATGACAGTTTCCAAAAATGCCTAAGGTCGGAACTGAAACTAGGTTTAGTTCCAAGTTTCCAATAATAGAAGTGAAAAACCAGTTCTGATTTCGATTCCTAAAAAGTATACTTGTCACCGTTAATCTAGTTATTATATAGGAAATAGTTAATATTTGTTCACTAGAAATGTCTTTAAACTCACAATGAAGATATTGTCAATTAAACAAATGTGTCACTCGCATCAAAGTTTTCAATTAGACATCAAATGTTTTCGTTCTTCAACCAAGAAAGATTTATTTTAATGCATATGCAAAAAGCATCAAAGAAACAAACTACAACAGTAAAGTTGTTTTTCAACTCTTTTCTAGAGACAAGTAAATAAGTAATTTTTTTTTCTTCTTATGAAGATTTTCATTCAGTGCAACAAACAAATGAAAAATTTATTTGTATCAAATTCATACAAAGATGACGTTATATAGAAGACTCTATGACTTAAAGTCAGAGTCAATATCTATGAATTGAATTTATCTTATGCGTGTTAAATTTTAGTGATTGTTCAGTTCTTCCGTTGAATGCTACAATTGAAAGAATAGTGCTATGATACGCTGAACTCTAACGAAATAGCAAATTTTTAATAGTCAGATGATAAAAACTACATATGTTCTCTGGGTATTGTTTTGATTGTATCTTTCTATGCCCTTGATTAATTTTTATCAATGATTCAAATTTTAAACAGGTAGTATGAATAAAACGCTCTGCCTTTTTCTAACAATATAATTAAGTTATTCCTGTCAAGATTATGGTTTATATCAACAAATTGGAACTTCAAAGATTTATCATCATTTGAATTCTTAGTTTTAGAAAAATTACTGTTTATGATGATATACTAACATGCAATCAGACTCTTTTCCTAATTACCTTTCATTGCATTATTTTTTCCATTGATCTGCATGCGTACTGATTGATTTACATCTGCAATTTCAGGTAACTATAATAGATGAAAAGTGGGAGAGGAAATCTTTGAGAGTAGCTCCTGTGAAATCACTTGTCTTTTAGTTCAATACTATCTTATCAAAAACATTGACAGGATTATTGCAGAGAATATATGGTAATAGACTCAGACCAGTGTATCGCTACTATTTTGCTCGAGTTAAAAATTCTTTTTCAATCAAAAATGATATGTGCTCTGACATTATTATGCAGCAACAGATGATTAAAAGATTAGAACGGATTAGCAACATAGATCTTAGTTTGTACCTTTTGTTTTACAAAGATGTATCTTGTGGAATTCATTTCCAACAATAAAGATAACCACTTAGACCAGTTTCTTTGATTGAAAAGAATGAACAATACAACGTACAAAGTATTACTCTCTTTTTCTACAATGACCTAAATTCTTCTTCATATAATATTTTCTCTTCTCATCAGTCACCATCTGCTCTCGTTTTGTCTCCTTTTTTTCTTTTTCTTTCTCTGTTCTTTGTCTTTTATATATCCTTTCAGCTGTATTCTTTTCTTCTCTTTTATTGTAATCTTTTTATTTTTTAATAGCAAATGCCCTACTACACGTGTGCTTTTATTACATGCCTACTATCTGGTAACATAAAAAGCTATGCATGCTTGTCATTTTCATTTTGTATGCCTTTCTACGTATAAAAATAAACCACGTAGGCACGAAAAAACATGACTCTGGTGTATACTACGTTCTTCTTCCTCTCGCGACGTCCAGGCACAACTGCTATTTCTTTCATTCCTTCTATTCTCTTTTACACATAGAATATAGACTTTTTCTTTCGCAAGAACACAATAGAATTACAACACACCACCGCAAAGCAACTATAAAAAGACATTGATTTTAATTATTTTACATACGTGCATTATGGCTACTATCATCAAACAAAAGTCTATTACTATCAAATGTTCGAATCCATCAACAAACGTTGAATGTATAACATGTATGGCTGTTGAATCAAATGCAAAAGGATTTCCTGTCAATATGATCTGGATCTATTCGAATACTGCAAATTTGTCAAAAGATGATTTTATGCCATCCAATCAATTACAAGCTACTCTATCGAATACTCTCAATTATTTTCCTATATTAGCTGGTCGCGCTACAGAAGATGAGAAAGGCAACGTCACCATTCATTTGACAAATGAAGGTGTTCTCTATACCGAAGCAGAATGTCCGAATCAAAATTTAGATTATTTTATACCACAAACATTCCAAGACGAAGGATTTGATTATGAACATATCAATACAAGTGATTTAGCTGTAAGAGTTAAAGCCGGTGGTAGAGAACCTTGCATGTCGATACAAGTGACGCGTCTGAAATGTAATAGCGTTATTCTAAGTATATCAGCTTCTCATTGTTTAATGGATGCACATAGCATGTCACATTTCATCAATGCATGGGCTTCTGGTAAGCCACCACAAATGATGCCGATGTTCGACAAAACTTTCATCTTATATCCTAATGAACAAGAACGACAACAGATAAGTTCTTTGAAACGACCAAAGAACTGTGTTTTCAATCGAAATATCACTCCATTATCTGGCTCACCATTCACTCAAGTACAACAACAACAACGTGTGATTTCCAGAGTTTATTTTTTCTCTGCCAACGAACTAAATAATATCAAAAAAGAAGCATCAAAAGACATATCAAAACCAGCTGATTACATTAGTACTTACGACGCTCTTTATGCTCATATG